TTTAGAATACTATCAATATCATTAAGTGAAAAACCAAAATTTATTTTTTCGAGTAATTAAGTAAAATTACCTACACCCCCACAATTTTAAAAATAATTTTTAAAATTGGTAAACGAGAATAATACCTGGTTGTGCTTTTCCCTTTTTAGGTAAAGTATACGAAAATTTACTCAAGTACCTCATCTTCTATGTCCTCATCCGCAGTCCTTACAAATGCGATTAGAAGCCATCATTTCTACAAGCACCTTGGCAGCCTCCGGAAGTTATGGGTTTCGCAAACATTGTCTGAGTTCTGAAAACAAAGTTTTGATCTTCCAGGATTGAGTTGTTGATGTGAGCCATAAGTTTTTAAGAATATAAAATAAACTCATAATAATTTTAGAAGAGGAAAGAAGAAAGGAGAAGGAGACAAAGACTGACTTGAGATGTTTTTTGATATGGAGAAAAAACTCTCAACATTAATATTTACCGTTGAAACATTAAATAAATTTGAACGTCGTTGACAATTAAAGTTTTAACCATTCCAATCCAACGTTTTCTTTTACAATAATATAACGTTATTGCAACTTTAGTTTCATTGATAAATAATTCATATCATAATAGTAAAAGTACCATTAACTTAAACCACAAGGCCAACGATTTGTAAGCATGAGAAGCCAAACCAGTAGTCGTAATCAGCTTAAAATAACAAACGTCACCGTTGTCTTACATGCACCACACGAATTGCCTTTTTTTAATCTTCGATAAATCATCGCCAAAAAATATTTGTATAATTTATTTAAAACTTTTGGTAACAACTTTTAAGAATGTTTAAAAAGAAATAAAAATAGAAAAATGATACTTTGACTTATATAATTTTTTTAATTTTTTACAATTATTTGATACTGTTATTTCTTATTTTTTACTTTTTTTTAAATATAAAAATTATTATTTGCATCACCCTATCATTACTCATACAAATAATATAGATTGAAGAAAAAAGTTTAAAATCCAAGAGTTTATTTACAATTCCCAAAACAATTAAAGTAATGTTGAAACTAGTTGGAAGTTGAAAGACTATTTAAAAACCGAAGAAAGAAACTAGTTTGCAGTTGAAAACTATTTAGAAAAAATAATTTTAAACTTTTGCAATTTTTTGTTTGCAAATAAATCATTTTAATTATACGGTTTTCTTCTAATTATTATATATTTTTGTTATGTATTCAACTACCTTAAGGTCTACTAAAAATACAGTAAAATATCATAACTCAGATTGACGTCATACATTCATATAATATAATGGTTTAAAAAGTATATATAAAAACTATCATCTAACAACATTAATATTTTCAAGTTTAATTCCAAAATGACAAAACAAATACTGTAAATATTAAAATAATAAATGTGATATAGAAATCCAAAAATAATTATTATTTATCGATGAAAATAATAAAACAAAATTTTATTTTATAAATGGAAGAAGAGAAACAATATATAAAAAAAAATTATCTCGTATGGAGAATATTAAAAGATAAATTCTAACAGTATAAAAAATAAATATAAAATGCTAAAAGTTAGAACTACTATATTAAACAATACAAGCCACTGAAAGCAATTATCACTTTAAACATGTTTAATCAATATATTTTGAGACTTCAAAATGATAGTAAAAGGAAAAAAAAGTCAGATTTTGTTTGACTAATGAAACTTAAAACACAGTTTTTTGTAGATATATTTTTAAGTTAAAAATTGTGCTTACTTGAAACTGATTTTTTTTTTATAGACATTATATATTCTAGTGTTTATAATAAGATATAAATTAATTATTACCTTGATTAATGAGAAAAAAAATGATTTTACGATTTTAAAAAGATAATTGTCTCTTGGTGATGTCTATTAGCAGCCTCGAGCCAAGAGAGTACGTGAACTTAGATGTTTTGTACTGTCCAAGGCTTTCTATATAAAGAAGTAAAGGATGTGAAGTTGTTGCATAACTAAGTTCAATAGAAGAAACAGAAAGAAGAGAAAAGTAGAAAAGAAAATGGTTGCTTTCTCCGACAAGCAAGAGGCTTTGGTGAATGTCGCTTGGGAAGCATTCAAGGCAGACATTCCTAAATACAGTGTTGTCTTCTACACCTCGTAAGTATTTTCCTTAAACAAACATATGTGCAGTTTTTCATGCATGCATGCATCGTATGTGTGTGTGTTTTGGTTTTGACGAAAACAAAATGAACAGAATACTGGAGAAAGCACCAGCAGCAAAGAACTTGTTTTCCTTTCTAGCTAACGGAGTTGATCCCAGCAATCCTAAGCTCACCGGTCATGCTGAAAAGCTTTTTGGATTGGTAACTCTCAGCCAAAATCAAATTCATATTTTCTTTTTTTATATTTTTATTATATTTTTATGATATTTTTGAAATTGTAGGTGCGTGATTCGGCTGCACAACTTAAAGCAAATGGAGCAGTCGTGGCTGATGCTGCACTTGGTGCTGTCCACTCTCAGAAAGCAGTCACCGATGCTCAGTTTCTGGTACCAATATTACTATTGTTTTATGGTCTTATTTAGAATAAATTAATGCATAATTTTCAAGTTTTTTTATCTGAATAATAATAATAATAAAAATGTGTTAATGAATCGCAGGTGGTAAAAGAAGCTTTCGTGAAAACATTGAAGGAAGCTGTTGGAGCCAAATGGAGCGATGAGCTCAGCGGTGCTGTGGAAGTAGCTTACGATGAATTGGCAGCGGCTATCAAAAAGGCATATTAGCTTCTATTGCCTTAAATTAAACTGTAATAAATAAATTATGTTTCATAAACAAGTTACCCATATAAATGTTGGTTAAAATAAGTAAATTATATTGTACTATTTGATAAACAATCTTATAAGTTATATATTTCCATATATTTATGTTTGCGAATCGTAATGGATAATAATTTACACAAATAAATTCGAAATAGTTTATCTGTTTTAAAATTGTTTCATTAAACTTAATTAAATGGGATTGGGAACGAGAGAACATAAGACTGAATTAATGATCAACTTTTAACAACCATATTTGTTTGAGATAAAAAAAAATAATTCATAATAGGTTTTGGACCGATTCTTACCTATTTATCTATGACCTTTATATAAATTTTAGTGTGACTTTTAAAAATTTGACAATTGTTAAAAGTTTAAGTCATCTGTCAAATGAAAAGAACAATATGCAAATTAACAAGTTTAATTACACCAACAAATTTAAATTTTTTAATGAATATTGTTTATTATGCAATCTTTATTCTAAAAAAGATTAATATTAAATAAATAAGAAAATTTAACTTATTATATAAAAAATAGAGATACACATATAATTTATCTTACCACATGATCAAAAACTGAGAAAACAATTATAAGAAAAAATAATACTTAAAAAAAAAACCTGAAACTATTATCAAAGTATTCGTCTAATGAGCAATGGAATTTAAGCACGGTGAAACTATACGCCTGTTTAAAACTATATTCTAAAGGACTTATTATTTATTAATTATTTCCTATATTATGGTTTATTAACCATAATTTAACATCGAAAATAATTGTGGCGTATACCCTATTAGTAGTGGTTGTGTAATAAAAGTGATAAAATTTCTTACATTTAATTAGACCGCTCAGTAGACTTACATGCTTGTTCCCGCTTAACTTTTTTTATTTTTAAAAAAGTTACTATCTTGTTTAGTATATTTAGGTTATTTTTATGTAATTTTTTATTATTAATTTATTTTATGAACTCAATTGATGTAATTGTAACACTGTATTTAAAGTTATTAAAAAGTAATCTAAATTATTAATTATTTATTTAATAAATTTATCAGTTTAAATAAATTTTATCAAATTAAAAATTAATAATTTCTTATAGACTAGTGGCAGGTGTCTTGGTACAAGTACTTCCGTTTTCCCATTCATATGCGGGGGCTTCTTCTTTCACCCCATGCTTTTCTTCTTGTACCCCACATGTGAAGGAGGTGCAGCTACGCAAAGCAAAATATGTATGATACAGGGTTTTTAACTTAATCAAAATCAAAACAATATGGGTGTTGCTCCCTCCACCACCACCCCTTGCTCCCTTCACTACCTCCTTCTTGTTTTACTCTTCTCTTTATTTTTCCATTCTTATTTTACTCTTAGTAAAATTTTATGGTTAATATTTTAACCTCTACACACTCCATTCTTATTCCTCTTTATTGTTTGTTCTCTCATTGTTTCATTGTGTTCTTCTTCCTCTTTTTCGCGTTTCACTTCTTCCTTTCATTCTTTAATTGTGATAGAATTGTGGTCTTAGAGCGTGGTGGACTTTCAATAGCTGGTGTGCTTAGTGAGTGATTGCAAGTGGTGGTGGAAGCCATTGATCAACTGTGCCAAGATCAGTGTGTGGTGGTGCTTGAAGGATTCATCGTGAAGGTGCGTAATAAACCCTAAAAAAATAAACGTATAATCTTTAAACGGATGTGAGCATCCCTCAGCGAATGTTAACATCCGTTTATGAGAAAAAGAATGTCGATATCCGTTTTGCCTTAAACGGATATTGACATCCGTTTTGCCTTAAACGAATGTTGACATCCATTGACGGATGCTCGCATCCGTTTATAGTTACATGTTTATTTTCGAGTTTATTTTTTTTAGTTTTTTTATATTAATTTTGGAGATATTTTAATAATGTAATTTATATGTTTTGATGTATTATTTTTTAATATATTTTTGATGTATTTTAATAATGTGTTTTTTAAGATTTTTATTGTTATTAGTTTATATTTATATTTTTTTGTATTTTGCAGTTATATATAATTTGTTTTTTGTTTTAATGTTTTTGTATAATATATATTTTTTATATATGGTTTTTGTATTCTTTAACAATTTTATAATTATATAAAAAATTATTTATTAGTTTAATTATATGAAATATATAATTTTATTATATTAATATTTTGTAATTAAAATAAACGAATGTGGTGGAGTTTGGGGGATGAGAATCTGAAAAAAGAGAGAAGGAGAGTTGGAAGGTGGGACTGAGTGAAAAGTAAAAATGGGTAGAAAGATATAAGGTTTGAGTTTAAAGTAAATAAATAGGGTTAATAGTAAAAAAGGTTATTTTTGTAATTAAAATTTTTTTCGGAAGGTTGGGGAGGTGGAGAGAGAAGTGGTGGTGGTGGAGCTAGCAACACCCAAACAATATTTTAGCCATTTAAAAAAAAAATTGGAGTTGCAAGAAGAAAACACTTGCATGCAGAAGCCCCTTCATATTTTCATCCACCTTACGTATTACTTCAAAATTGTCCAATTAGAAAGAGTTTTCACCTATTGAGATTAGTCACTTCAAATTTAGAGTCTTATGAGTGAGTATTTAGGAATGATAACGAGTAAAATTTCCTTTTCCTTTATGTTGTTAAAATAAAAATTCATTTTCATTCTTATTCTCATATTTAATAGGTATAAAAATTTATTCTAGTCTTCAATCTCATAGAAATAAGAAATATGCTAATAGATGTTTTTGTACTTTTTATTATTATTTTAACATCAATTAATTAATTTTAAAAATTAAAATTACAGTTAAAAAATATAATATTATCAAATATTTAATATTAAAAGAATATATTTTTATTTTTTCAATATTAAATATTTTTAAAAAGATTAAATTATATGAAATTTTAAATTAAAGTATCATATATTAAATAAAAAAGAAAAAATTATATATATATATATAAAAATTAGTGTTGGATATTAATAATATTAAAAGAAAAAGATGGGTGAATTCTTCCGCTTGACCCATTCTCAACCAGTTAATTGACAAGCACGATCATAAGGTGGTTTGTTGGGTTAAAACCTTAACTAATGTTATCTTAAATGTTAAAAATAATACAAATATAAAAAAAATCAAATATATAATATCTGAAAAGCAGCTAATTAAGGGATATTTTTATATTCATTTGCTATTCTTTAATTTGTGCTGATTAACTTAATAAATATGGGAATGGGTGGTAATGATTTTTTTATTAATGACTTTAATTGCCAAAATGAGTTATTATAATTGTTTTAAAATGAGACCTAATTTCTTTGCATGGTTGTTTAAAGTAATCCAAATCACAGTTATTAGCATTGGAAGCATGAGGAGCCAACCAAATATCAAATTGCACCCAACAACTTTTATTATCTCCCAAGAGATTTTGTTTACTATATAGTCTTCCAAATCCCAGTTTTCAGAAATTTGGAATTGGAAGCACCAAGAGCCAACACCATTTTAAAATGCTTACACATTCAAAATCACACTTTGAGTACTTTTTTATATTTTTTATATTAATTGTTAATTAAAATTCACTTAAAGACTAACTTTTAAACTAATATAAAATATCTTATTATGATTCCTGCTAGTTCTTTTCTTCATTAGTAAGAAGACACAAAAATATCTTATTAACTTATATTATTTAGACATAATTCTTAAACCCTAAACTTATATCAGTATAATAATTGTAACCTTGTCATAATACTATCCTAAATACATATTTACACTAATTAAAATTCATTTATTGTTAGCCACAAATAATTAGGTTAAAAAATAGCATATAGGGTAAGTATGCCTGTAGAAAGATGTAACTTGTTTAAATGAAAAATTATGAAGAAAAATGAAATAGAGAACAATGTAAATACATTTTAATAAAAAATTATTATTATTTCCTTAGAAAATGTGAAAGAAAATATAAAAGATATCAAATAATACACACTCAAATAATTATATCATGAGAACAAAATATTATACATATATCACATATAATATACATCTCAATATTATATATATATATATATATATATATATATATATATTAAATACGTGCAATTTATCATCATCACTATCAAACATATACTCGTCACATAAATCATAGGTATAAATATATAAAATTGCACGTTCATTAGTAAGTTAATTTTGCTTAAAACTTTATTATTATCTTTTTAGATTTGTATTATATCAACTCAACAATATCTTAATGATATATTATATTTTAAAAAAATTCAAATAAAAAATTAAAAAAAATTATGATGAAACAATGAATGAAATGCCCATACCTTATTTCTAAACTTTGTATTATTTATCTATCTAAAATCTTATCTATAATAAAATCTCATTTCTTACGTATAATTAAGTTGAAAAAAAAATAAAAGTATCTAATTTTTTTAAGATTAAATTTACGTATACCTCACATATACTTTAAATGGTGGTTGTATTCATAATTTGTGAGGTGCCTTTCCATGCTTAATCCCTTCAAATGTGTATACAAAAACAAAATAGACGAATGTCATCCAATAATCCATTTTAGCAATTTCGCCAATTACATGAACAACTGAAAAGGGATTATAATATAGTCATTTTTACAACATTTTTAAATTATTGATGCATTTTTAGGTTATAATAAGAACTGTTTGATTAAATTCTTAGAAAAACTTAGTATATAATATCTTATGCCAATTCCCACCCACCACAAGCCAAGGACAAACAATCACGAAATTTACCTAAGCTTTTGTTACCCTCCAAGATTTCTATATATATATATATATATATATATATAAAGAAGCCTTGGACTCAACATTCTTGGATTGAAAAAACATACAAATAATAGAAAGGAAAAAAAATGGGAGTATTAACCCAAAGACAAGAGGCAGTGACCAGTTCAAACGACGAAGTGAAGAAACGTATTCTTCATAATAATAGCCTTTGTTTCATTGCCTAGTGAGTGTCTTCTCCACTATATTACTACAAATGCATGCATCATCTTTTTCTCATTAGCATTTTTTAGCAGATTTTAATCTGCATAAAAAATTGAATACTTCTTTTTA